TAACTGATACCAAGGTTAAAGAAGGCATTTTTGCTGGTCCGCAGATCAGATGTCATCAATGACAAGCAGTTCAAGGATCTATTAGTGTGGCCAGAGAAAATTGCCTAGAAAGCATCCAAGGATGTAGTTGAGAATGTTCTTGGCAACGCCAGAGCACCAAACTACATTCAGCTGGTTGACAAACTTCTTCAGCATACAAGATCATGAAGTACAACATGTCACTGAAGATTCATTTTCTGCATTCACACTTACACTTGTAGGTGCAGATAGTGATGAACATGGTGAAAAGTTTCATCAGGACATTGCCATAATGGAAAAACATTATCAGGGCAACTGGAATCCACCAATGCTGCTGACTAGTTGGATTCAGCAAGATACATCAGACACCGAGTGCAAACAAAAAACAGCAGCAAAACACTGTTAGCCTTGTTGAACTCATGCAGTGTGTCAGAAACTTTATGCATTTAAATACATTATAGTCATTAAAAGTTAATTTCATATTTCTCAAGATTTCTACATAATATAGTCATTCTGAAACTATATTTGTGTTTAGTTTGAAGGGGTCTTCATAATCACCAAACATTTTTCAAGAAGTAAAACTTGAAAAAATGTGTTGTCCACTGATATTAATGACATTTCTACCAAAAAGCCAACATTGCAGTTTCCCATAATTTTGAAATAAGAAACCAAAAAACATATTTAAACTCTCATGAGTTGTTTGATGACTGCCATGAATCCATTGTATTTGGCAATATGCAAGTATTTAAAAACTTAATCCCAAACAATCCTCTCATGTTATAGCATTGGTGTGCCCATACATTTTTTTGCCATCAAAAGCCTGTACAAAATATTCAGTAGAAATGTTTACTAAAGGTATGTAGTAACAAGATTTTAGAGGATGGTATCTCCTAATACAAACTTCAAATGTTGCATTTACATCATGCTTAACTGGTTGGACTCTCCCTGTCATTTGAACTCAGTAGTCTGGACATTTCCAGTTTTGAAGGTTATTTTACCTGTGTATCCAAGGTTAATTACTAGTACTGTATTTTTACAAAGAGGGCATTTCGAGACTATTTATCTTCCTCAGTTTCCAAACCCAGAGAAAATAATTTGAATATTCATCATACAGCATAAGCTTCTCCTATTGTGTGGTCTCCTTTCTTTCCTCCTTCAAGGACCTATGAGGAGCTGGAACTGTACAGAAGGTGAGTAGAAATAAGTCTTTGCCAGTCCTATCTCTGGTGGCTTCACTACCAATCAATCTCTGTGAATTTTAAGTTTTAAATTATACGGAAGTAATAGTGAACAATCTACTATATAGGTAGATGGAAGGCTGTCCAAAATGACTGCTCCATAGCAAACTGACACTATTACCTACTTCTTGGTAAGTGTCACTAAGGTAGGTAACTTACTCATTGTTCATATCAGATTCAATTGAACATTTTCAAACTGGATTGATATAAAGTGCAAACCAAAATATCCTAGATATATATGACTGAATATTTATGATATACTGTTATGTCATATTGTTAACATTCGTATTAGTTTTACACACGGTATAAACCTGCCAAATTAATTTATGGAACACCAAACTAGTTTGAAGATGAATAATGGCAGATTGCCTTACCCAATACAGTATTATAAAGACTCATTTTTAATTATTAACATTTTCTAACAACTCTTATCAGAACAAAGTTGGGCAACTTTTGGGTGGCATGAACTATACTTTATTGCTCTGAAAATAGCACAGCCACATTTTAGGTTTCCACAACAGGTTTATTTTCTGTCTTAAACTGCACTACTGAATTTCAATAACTTAGGCTGCTAAAATTAATAGAGGTTGCATATAAACCCCTATATTGTATACTTTATTAGCTCAAACTTGTAAGATGAAAAACACCAACATACAACTTTTTATTTTGAAATGTTCAGATATCAGAGAAAAAATAGTACATTTTTAAAACAGATACAGAATCACAAGTAAGAGTTATGCACTTCCCTTCAAATATTTTAAAATACAGCCTTTATTTTTAAAATTAGTTATCTTAAGCATGAAGAACTATTACCTATAGATCAGAGATCTCCAACCTTTCCGGGCTCGAGGACCCGAGGGAAGGAGAGCAGCTTCAAAATTGGTGTTTGTGCGTGCAGACATACACATGGGGCCACGCACACTGGCGTGGCACTAGCAGCCCTGTTTGCACATGCTGCATGTGCTGGCACTGTGCGTATGCACAAATGGCTGCACTCCCCCACAGTGGCTAGCAGCCCATTCGTGCATGCACAAACGGGCCACATAAACCACCTGGGCTAGCAGCGCATGCGCAAACGGGCTGCGGACACATTCCCCCGCACTAGCATTCCTGTTCATGCGCAAGCAGGACCATGGGCGCTAGCGCAAGTGGGGGGAAATGCGCACCAAGTATGTGCACACCAGGCAGCCATGTCTACGGCCCAGTGGCCAAGAGCCCACAGCCCGGTCCTGGATGCGGACCATAGGTTGGGGACCCCTGCTATAGATCATGCCAACTGCAATGATGTGTTTGACAATGCTGCAGCAACAGAGGAATTCCTCTTTATCAATTACTTACTACCAGAAGTTATATAACTTTCTTTCATGCAGCATCCACTGATCATTCATGAACAATGTTGATTATGTGTGTATAATTCACAAACATAATTAGCATGGTAATTGAATATGACCTGGATGGCATGAAAATTACATGGATATAAAGCAGGTATTAAAATCATACTGAACTGTGCTTCACTATATTCAAATGAAGTATCAGCTAAAATACCATGGAATTTGGCCATCAACCTCACATTTTAAAATATTATTTCAGGCTTAGATCATAAGATAGAGAATACTTATTATAGATCTATTTGTCCCGAAAATGATGGAACAGCTTATATTCCAGCAATAATTAAAAATGATTCTATTAAAGAACTGGGCTGAAAATAAAAAAGTGTTTTATGAAGGGAGCAGAAACCAAATGTATAGATATGAACTTGGCAATATCTAATCTTGCATTAGCGAATAAAGTGAGTAAGTCACCAGTGTGATGTAGCTGCAAAAAAGGCAAATGCAATTTTGGGATATATCAACAGAAGTACGGCTTCTAATCTTAAGAAGCAATAATTCTACTTCAGTCCTTCTTATTAGATCTCACCAGAACTCTGTCATCTTCAGTCATTATACTTTATAGTTAGCCAAACTGGATTAAGCTCAAAAAATGGCAATGAAAATCATCACAAGATCAGAAACTACATTGTATGAGGATAGACAGAAGGCATTAGATATGTTTTGCCATAAGACAACTGAGAGGGGATACGAGAAAACATTTTTAAGCACCAGAAAAGATACCAATACAGAATATAAATATCTGTTCTTCATCAACCCAAACAAAAGATACAGAATGATGAATTTAGGTAACAAGACAGCAAATTTCAACTGAATATTAAGAATAAAATCCTAACAGAAAAAGCAGTTTAACAGTACAACTTATTCAAAGAGGCACTTTTGATTCCCCCAAAATGGATGAGTTCAGCAGAAGATGTGTACAACCAATTTATCACTGTTTTCATATGGATTCTTCCTTTGAACAGAGAACTGACCTTCATGGTTTAAAGGATTTCTTTCAGTTCTATTTTATGAGTACATAACTATCCTGTAACTATCTAGGTTATCACTTTGAATATCAACACTATTTAGATGAATATGACAATAAAACAATAAAATGAAATAGTAAAGCAGTGGTTCTCAACCTGTGGGTCGGGACCCCATTTGGGGTCGAACGACCATTTCACGGGGGTCGCCAAACAACGCAGTCCGCCATTTTTCCCCCTCTTCCTTAGCTGTGCTACTCCCTTTTATTCTATTGGCTTTTGAAAGCCAATAGAATAGACTCTCTTGAATAGAGTCTAATTCTATTGCTTTCAAAAGCCAATAGGAATTGTCCAGGCTGTCTCTGCCCTGCTGAGCCCGCCAAAAGTCCCATTTTGCAAACGGTGCTGCACCAGTTGAGTAGTCCTCGACTTACGACCGGTTGGGGGGTTGCGGCATTAAAAAGGTTGAGAATCACTGTAGTAAAGGATGACATTCACAGAAACATTTCCATAAACTATTTGTGATGGTTGTTATACAAAAAATTAGTATTAATTTCAGCATTCATTATGACTGATTTCACATGTGTCTGTCATATTTTAACCATGATTTATTGAACAAACCTGGTTAAATTCACACAGCTCATACACCATAATTGACAAATCACTACAGCTGACTTTGCACAATATGCTAGGCTACAAATGCAAACAAACCACCTTTTGGTTTACTCTGCTAAATATATTCAAGCTCTATAAGTTTCCAATCCACAAATTTCAATGCAACCCAAATAACAACATCTAGGATAGCATGCAGATTCAATATAACTCCTCTTCACCACAAACAATGAAGCTTTTTTTGTAAACTACTTGCAAATGAATCTGAATTCAATACAGCTTTTTTTCTCTTCAATATCAACTTTCCTTTTTAAAGTGTTAAATAAAAGCATGTTTAAGAATGCCTCTGAGGCAAGAATAGACTAAATGAGCTTCAGAACTCATAGACTTAATATACATTTTCTGTTGGAGAATCACTTTGGTACTGGGTTCTTTAGCTGCCATGTATACTTTACATTACTTTAAACAAGGCACAATAATGTGGACAAGAAGACAACCTAATTTGTAATACTCTAAGCATTTCTTGTATCTGTGCAAGAACATATGTAATTATTTTAAGAATATATTAATATGCTTAAACATAGCTGTTTGTCCAACATCCTTAACTGAACTATAGTTTAATTAACAAAAATATATGGTTTGCATAGCAAACTGTGCCATAAATTAACAACATAGGGTTCATACATGTTAGCCTAAATGTGATTGAGTGCATCATGTAATCGCTACCAGTGATTTATTCCTGTACATATAAACATTTCATATCAAGAAAATGTTCTTACCTGTATATCCTGCCCACCAGCCCCAGGATGCCACCATGGCTAAAAGCCATTTAAATAATACTCCTTCGATATACCAGAACCATTTATTATCCAACAATCGAAGAGGTTGCAGTACTATCATGTACAGAATATAGGACGGAATAGCAACAAGGTTATTAGCAACCATGAAGCTAAATCTTAACAATGCTTTCAGAAATATATAGCCTGCCCTTTGGGCCTTCTCCAAAGTTATAGCCATTCTTTTCACACAGAACCCTGTAGTCTTTTCCTACAGAATAAGAAAGAGAAAAATTACTCAGAATAAAGTACACAACTTCATGTTTTTTAAAAAATCCTTCCTAATCAAAAAGATTTTCATCTAAAAATATTAGCAATATATGTTGCCAGTATTTTCATTTTTTTTTTAATTCCCTAGATCACTACATAAGATTTGTTCTCAAATCTTTTTTTAAAAAGCATAATAAACTTCACTGCAGGCTACCAATCAGAATTACTTGTCTTTATTGTTGTTATATTCACAACTGCTAGAAGAAATCTTACAAAACTGTTCCTCACGGCCCTAGGGTTTGTGTTTTTACAAGGATATATATTTTACACAATTATACATTTACAAGGATATACATGTTATGTCTCAATAAGATTATTGAATATAAAGTAAATCATTTTCAATGTCTTAAGTATACCACAGCAGGCATACTAAAGAAATGTGCAATCTATTTGGTAACATAGAAAACCTAATTATGATATACAAAGGACTGATCTTTTGAGACAAAGAATTCCCTTTGCTTTTCTTCCATAAAAAATTGTAATGATGGTTTACATATTAACATCAAGAATATCTAACTCTCTTTATTTTGCAAGAGGAACTGTAGGTAAAAAGAAAAATTGAAAACATGCAGACTATTATGCTTTTAACTCCTAAATTACAAGAAGGAAACAGTGAAATAAAAATACAAAAGGAAGCACCAATTTAAATGGCAAATAGGTAGCAAAGGAGAACAAAGCCTAGAGACTCCATCCAAAAGAGACTTATCTAGGAGTAGGATTTATTAAATTCAATGCTTGTATCTGGAATATGTAGAATTCTAGTAAAGGGTTGGAGAAGGAGAATAGAAGAAAGAGAAACAGGCTCAGCCCACACTATTCACTGAATCGCTCACCTTCTGCTGCGCAGAGGAAAGGGAACAGGAGGGCCCAGAGAAGTGGGCCTGATGGCCTTAGCAGTAGAGGGGGGTGCCTTGATCGGTGGCTGCCGGTGAAGGAGAAGGAAGTGGAGGCAGTGGCAGCAACTCTGGTGAGATAACGGCGGTCTCATGGACATGGAGGTTGCTGGCCTAGATCCAACGGAATGGGATGGGAACACTCCCTATTTCCCGTGCACTTCACTGAGAGGGAAAAAAACACAAGCGGAGATACCACTGAAAGAGACTGAAACAGCACAAATGCCGGAACCAGCCACGTTACAAGGGAAGGCGCAGTCCAGAGGACCTATCACACCCTAAGAAGATTTGCACAATATTCGGGGCCTATGGCGATTCGCGCGCCTTCCCAAGAGAAGAGGCTGAATTCCGCCGCGAATCACCCGGCTGGTGTATCCGCTTCTCCTCCCGGGAGGAAGAGGGCAGCAAGCGCAACTCCCGCACCTGTTGGGGTATCTGAGCGCTGTGCGCCGTAAGACAGGAAAAAGTCGCGGAGGATCTCTTAAATTTCAGCCGCCGCTATCGAGTATTTCGGATCAGGAAACAGGCTCGAGCTCTCTGGACAAGCACAAGTTTGCACAGGCTTCAAAAAAACAACAGAGAAGCTCTACTCGTCCCCCGGTCAAATAGAGAACTAAGCCTACTATTCCGCGGTGCTCAGAAGCATTTACTCTGTTTAAGTAACGGAAGAGGAAGAGTAGCTCTCTTGAGAAAATTCTCCCTCCAAACCGTAAGAGTTTCACCACGTCGTAATAAAATTAACCTCCTCCCTTTAGGAGAGGTTGAAAGAGTAGATTTTCACAAGTGCCACAGCAAGGGATGCACAGACACGGAGGGGAGGCATAGAAAGCATCGGGAGTGACCCATTTTTACCTGTATGAAATTCCCTCCAAAATACATTATCACCTTACATTCACATGGAAAACTGGAATTTCCCCCTCACGTCCTCTAACGGCGCGGGGAGTGTTCCAATACGGGGGGAAAAGAAAGGATCCTAGCGGGAATAGAGCACATTCCGGGTCAAACCCGGCCACAAACTTTTAAAGGTTGGGACTGGGTCTCTCCCAGGAACTTGAATTGGCTCCTTCCTCCCGATTAGAAACTTCTTTCAAGGGCACTAACGGTGTGCCTCCACAGCCTCCAGTAAGAGAATCTTTCGCAAAAAGCACCGTCGCCTACCTAGGACACTGGTGGGTCGCTCTCCTGCGACCGACCACCGTCCCCACCCCCCCGGAATGAAAGCCTGAAAGGATCATGTTCTCTCTGGGCGGGCGAAGACATCTCCCCGTTTTGCCCAGAATGAGCCCAGATAGGCAACCGTGGACATGACGACCCTGACCCTTTTCAAGTTCAATCTCGGGCTCCAGGGTAGCTTCCTCAAGGGCGATAGCCGCCCTCCTCCTCCATCATCACCGCCGCCACGCCGCGCTGCTCACCCAGAGCAAGGGGAGGATCTGAAGAGAGCGCCAATGGGAAGGAAGCACCCCGACCTCGCCTCGGGCGACAAGAGGGGTCCTTTCAAGGGCGACAAGAGCCTGTCCTCAGCTTCTCCCCCAGGAAGGGTTACTTCCCAAAGAACCCCGGGAAAGAGGGCGGCAGCGGCTTGAAGGCTCCCTCACTTATCTCGCACCTCCGCCCCTCCTCTTCCCCTCTCGAGAGGCGCCACTCGCAGGCAAAGGATGGGTAGGGACTTTCGTACCTCCGACTAGGCGGTTTTCCTCCTAGGGCCGGTTCTGAGGAGCCCGTCGGATTCATAACGGTGGCCGCCAGGGCCCTCGCCCACCTCCACTGCCGCGAAGAGGCTGCGCCGTGACCCCTCGACGCCGCCTCTTTCTTTTGCGGCTAACTCGGCTCGCCGGCAAGTTTCGCTGGCTCTCGAGGAGGTGGAAGCGAAGGCAGTAGCAGGTCCTTCACTGCAGCAAGCCCCGCTGTCTCCGGCCGATAGCTCCCTCTAACGAGCCGAAGCTTAGCAGTCTGGCTTCGTCTATCCCTCCACCCGCCAGTCAGCCAAACTCCCGGCGGGCTGGGCCTCAGCAGGCCGCCTCCCTCGCAACTCCCCTCCCCGGTCCCGGAAGAGGCAGCCAAAGCGCGCCGTTCTTCCCGCTGAAAGGAACGCGAAACTCAGAATATCGGAGAAACGGCGACAAGAATTGCAGCCAATAAAAATGCAAAGAGATTTAGCAGCCTTCCCGTTGCCCTCAGACTTGACTGGCTGTACCGGCAGCAAGAAGAGGATATGGCCGAATGGCTGCCAGGGCGACCTGACAGCGCCATGGCCTTTGAACAGTTCGTGACTCGCGAGTCTTGAATTTAAAAAGTCCTGTTAGGAGATTAAGACTGATGGTGTAAAAAAACCCAGCCCCACCGCCCCAATGTCTCACGTGTTCTCTGAAGGCCCGGAGAAGGGAAAGGAACGAAGGAGAGGCAGCAAGAGAAAACTTGAGCCAGGGCCTATTGAAAGTAAAACTTAGTATTGTAGGCAGGAGTAGGCTGAAGACTGGAAAAAGGATAACGGCATATAGGGTCTGAGAGGAGGCCTTCAACAGAAAAATGATGGGGTTCAGTGTGGTAAGGATAAAACCTCTCACTGAGTTTAAGGATAGAAACTGAATGAAAAAGTTCAGCCTGGTAATCCAGCAAGTGAAATGGGATTAAAAAGTGTACAGTACAATTTTGGATATGCCTGCAACACCATTCTATAATTTTCACTGTTGTTGAAGATTGTTGGGCATGTGCGCATGTCTGTAGTGACCTGCATTTTTAGCTAAAAATAGGAAAATAGTTATTGCATTAGTTTTATTTCAGTTTATTACTTATAGTAATTTTCTAAGTATTTATGAGCAAACTGGCTCATCTACAAAGAAGAGGTAAGCCCAAGGAAGTTTCACAAAGTCTGCAAAAATTTAAACTTTAGAAAAACGCCAAAAATGGGATATTCTGCAACAACTCAGAGAAGAATTAGCAAGTGCCAACCGTTGTTTAGGGTCAAAACATAAAGACATTCTGATAGAAACAACTAACTGGAACTCTGAATGTTTTTCTGTATTACAATTTTAAATTGTTTTCTCTGTGAATCTATATGTAACCAAAACCACATAACGCAAAACAGCATAATTGCATGATATACCTTGGAAATCATCATACACTGAACTAAAAGCATCTTATGCAACATGGCCATTGTTTTACATCTACATTTTTAATGAGATATTGGGAGAAGAAAAATAAGAGCTGGCTGAATTAAGGTGAATTAATTTTCCCTCTTTGACTATTAGATTTGAATTGAAATTTGCAGCAATTTTTAGAGGGGCTCTGGTTTCAACTAAGGCTTGCAGGAGCACATGTGGCCCTGGAGTCTCAATCTATATACATCCTTGTATTAGAATACATTAAAATTCTTCAGTCAGTTATTTAGGTGGATAATATACTGGTAGTAGTAATTTGGCCAGATGTACTTTGTAAAATTATTTAAGTCAAAATTTATACTGTTTAGCATTTCAGCAAAACTAAATATTTAATACTTCAGGCTTTAATAATCATTTGGTCTGGATCTGTTACATCACTGAAAGTTCAAATTATGTTTAAGATCAACTCCACACACTGTTCAAGTGAGGCAACTCTGAAGCCAAGCTTTATCTTGAATTCCAAAATCTGCAAATGAATTAAGGTGGGACGTTAAATTTGATATAATTTATATAAAATATAAGATATAGTCATATTTGATAGTTTGGGCAAACAAACTTTGTAATCAAATCCTTATTCTTAAAATCACAAATATGTGACTGATGTTCATCCATGTAAAAGTTATTAATCTGCTTTTATGGTGCTAAATCACTGTTATACTATTGTGAAACTTCCACAGAGGCTTTGTTCTCACAATACTATTTGTTGATTTATTGAATACATCTCAGTTGATTGGGATTGAACAATTTTCTAAGCAACAAACAGTTATTTATAATCACAGCATCTGAGTTTACACAGCATCCCAGCAGCATAAAACAACCAAATTTTGGTTTAGAATTATGTGTGAACCATTACACATAAGCCCAATTTATTCAGTAAACCCCATCCAAAATAAAGTATATCTTAGAACTTTATGCAAGTTCAACTGTTTTTATGATTCCTATAGTCAGTCATTAACAATCTTTATTCAGCAAATTTAAATACCACAGAACATAATCATTTTAATAGGCATACATAGGAATGCACTATGACATGAAAACAATGATGTGTTTACATAAGCAATGCCATTTTGTACTTCAATCACAAATGACTGTCTTTCCATGCAAATATCTTTAATTCAATATTTGGTGTCTCTAGAAAGATTTATTTCTAGTATATACAACATTCCTGAGTATAAACTTGGAACCATTATTGATTGGTATAATTACTGGGCTAGGTGAACTGATTATCTGAATTTATATAAGATATGGTAGATTCCTAATAGAAATACTACTGTGTGATTAAGTAAATAGTTTGCTCCACCACTGAGAACTGCCAGCACTAAGACATAAGTAAAACTTACTATTTCCTCTATGGCTATTTGGCACACATTAAATGACAGTTTTCAGTTATAGCTAAGAGTGACATCTTTATATTCCACAACACTGATCTTAATAGATTTTGTGTACTTAATACTTCAACCAATTATTTTTAAATTAAAAATAAGATTATCACTATTACATAGAGTAAATTATTCCATTTGTATCATATAAGATAATGTGTTAATCCCTTCTACATTTCAGCTTTCAGTAAAGGAGGATATTTACTTTTGAAGAAGATAGCTATCATGGGGCATCATTTGACATGAACATTGATTACCTGTTCCTGTCAGTGAATAGGTTTCAGGTTATTTAGTACTTGACAATTAATGTTTAACTTATTTTTTCTAGTATTTTGAGTCAAATCACATGTTATTCAAGAGATTTAAAATTACGGTATAATATGCTACAACTAACATGTTTAATACTTTTATATTCCTGTCTTTCTAGTAAAAACTTCCCCTTGATGACAGGATGATGATCTTCTCTGCTAACTCAGTTGATCCATTATGCCACTGAAAAAAAGTGATTTATTTTGCTTCAAATAACCAGACACCAGTTTGATCCAGTGAGTCAAAATCTGCACTTAGAAGAACCAAGTCCATATCCTTTGTCTACCTGTATATGCAAGATTGTGGATAGGCTTTCATTCAGTTGCTCTCAGTCCCAGCTCCCAATGCATAAACAGAACTAAATATTACTCAATTACTCTCATAAAATTTTCTCTTTGTGTTGTTCACTTTCCTACTCAAATTCTACATCATTGGCAGTAGGAGGGTTAGTAGAGAAAAAAAGAACTTGATGTCATATCAGGTGTTTCATTTCTGCACATTGCACAAGAAAAGAGAAGTAAAATACAAAACAGCTATTTTCAGCAACAGTCTTAAATATTCAGTAAAGTTTAATTCTGAGTTTTCCAACTTCTTAAAATCAGGATGTGCTTAACTTTAATTCCCCAAAATTCCAGCTAGTATAGGTATAGGACATTATCTTTCTTAATCTGGAAGGAAGCAAGTTGGGAAAGGCTGATCTAGCTTAACTCAGTTTTAAAAATCTGACATATCATATATATGCAAGAAAATACACTTTCTACAATTAGACAGTCATTAATGAAACATCAAATAGGTATTGAAATTTACAGATGATGATAATACAGAAAACTTCACTTGCTATTGGTCAAACTGGCACAAATATATACTAAGACTTAATTCAGGAAGTAATTTTATTCAGTGAGCAAGACACCAGCATGAAACAATTATCAAATTTGTTTACTGCAAGTTAATTATACAGCTGCTGAAGTACAAGTTCCAGCTTGTTAATCTTTTTAAAAGAGAGTGTGAGAGAGTGCATAATGCAAAAGTACTCAAGTAGTCATTTGTATGTAGATTAAATCTAAATCTCACTTAAACTTTGTGGAAATTCTATAGTCACATAGGCTGGGTTATAACTTACTAAGTTTTAGCATTTTTGAATGGCAGGAGCCTATTTTAATATGAAAAGAAAGAGTCAGCCCATACTACATGCCTGTTAATTATTCACTATGGTTATTGTGAGTTAATACATATTAACCAGGGAGACAAATTATTATTTATATAATGCTATTTTCAAAGATTTTATCCTCTTCTTTTGGTATAAGTCAGACGATTAAGTCAAATGGAATGATAAATGATAACAATGACACTAAAGACAGTGTCAACTAGTAAAATAGACAGAAAAATGTGAGATATTTGAAAGAAATTAACTCCTTCAACAAGAAATGCTTTTTGGTCTATTTCTACAACAGTCTTCCACAAACTGGAGCAGGGTGTTTTATGGGAGACTGGTGAAAAAAGACAAGAAGGCAGCCATGACTGAGGAATTGAAGTCTCAATCTTATTTGTGTGACCAATTAGAATAGAATAGAGCTGGAAGGGACTATGGAGGTCTTCTAGTCCAGCCCCCTGCTCAAGAAGGAGAACCTATTCCATTTCAGACAAGTGACTGTCTAGTCTCTTCTTAAAAATATCCAGTGATGGAGCACCCATGATTTCTGAAGGCAAGCTGTTCCACTGGTTAGTTGCTCTCACTGTTAGGAAGTTTCTCCTTAATTCCAGGTTGCTTCTCTCTTTGATCAGTTTCCAACCATTGTTTCTTGTCCTGCCTTCTGGTGCTTTGGAGAATAATTTGATTCCTTCTTCTTTGTGGCAGCCCCTCAAATACTGGAATATCACCCGTATTTCTTCTTTTCTTTAGACTAGCCAAACCCAAGTCCTGCAGCCGTTTTTCATATGTTTTAGTCTCCAGGCCTTTGATCATCTTAGTTTCTCTTCTCTGAATTTTTTTCAAAGTCTCAACATCTTTTTTGCAGTAGGGTGACCAAAATTGGTTGCAGTATTCCAGGTTTGGTCTTACTAGGGCAGGGGTGTCAAACTCAATTTCATTGAGGGCCGCATCAGCATTG